GGGGGGGGGGGGGGAGGGTTGACAGGAAGCAGCCACGTTTCACCGGCTGCAGACAGCTAAATTATTGTAAAATAATATCGTAAGTCTTGCGAGGCCATTGAAACTTGATTCCGATCCAGACTCGTCTCTGTGCTGGAATGCATTGTCGGCGTTACACATCCGTAGATGTCATGGGGGACTTGGCACCCTGATGATTCCCACTACATGCATAAGACAAATGTACAGATTGATTTGTTTTTTGTTGTTTTTTTTTCTACTAGACGATTTATCCATTACTAAACGACCTAACTACTACATGTAGCTCTAATACACCTGACGTCAAAAGTTCTATATTCATCTCATGATTTCTGATTTCACTTTCACTCAGAGAAAAACAACGAGATACAAGAGGTTCAACTTTCAAAAATCCACAACTCGTCTTTATTCTTAGTTTGCTCAGAAGTCATGTTATTATATCCAGATCTCAAAATACAGGAGTGATATGAAAGATGAACCCACCACGAGTCGCGCTCGTGCTGGCGACTCCATTAAAGTAATTCGAGTTATCTAACAACGTAAGTTATCTAAGCCTTGAGATAATTTCCTGGATCTATACACGAATAAGTGACGCAGCATTCACTGCAAAACTCCATTACGTCCCGTGGTCTGCCATCTTAACAGTGTAACGGGAACACGCATTTTTAGCAAGTATGATAAGAGATAAAAAGTAAAGAAAATAGGTCAACCTGTTCCTTGACGTCAATTGCAGGGAAAGCTCTTTGTTAAACAGTGTTTACAGAAACGAAAATAAACACTCTCGTCATAAAGAAAGGCCGTTTCTTAATGTTACTTTTACCGGTTGGAAATATGACCGCTCGCCCTTAACCGGTTAACATTGTATTACTAAGATACGAGATCGTGGTAATTAGTCTACCTATGTTGATGAGAGTTTCTTAAAGTGTATATCCGCCGTAAAAGACTACGATGTTTCTGAGATTGGATACATTCAGAGAGCTCAAGACTGATATCATAGATGTTTTTTAGTCCGAGAGAGAAATTAAGGACACAAAAGTACATTTTACATGCATAGCGTTAAAATTGTACACGCTGTGCTTTGGGAAATAAATAATGACAACCGCCAACAGATACGCCGTGCTAGGTCTTCTGCAGTTCTATAATATGTGGAAATGCGTTTACTTTATACTAAACGTGTCTCTCCTGAGTATCACATTCCTGACCATACACGTTCTAAAACGCTTTTAGACTATCGTTTTTTCGCGGGAATTCATTCCTAATGCCCCCTTTTATGAGATGAAATATTCACGAGCGACATCCGCGAAGGTCCAGTTGTGTTGACCGCGTATAACACGGCGTTTTGAATGCAGGGCTGATAGCACGGCAGATAGAACCTAGAGGCTAACATAAATATTAAAATGCAATCAATAATGGCATGCGAAACATCGGTGTAAACGATATGGCAGCGGAGATGTCGCCTGAATCTAGCAAATGTATCACCGCTATCATACTACCCTGCTAGTGGATGATATATGAATGTTGTTGGCGCACGAGATGATGAATCGATAGATTGATATCTTGATTATGTAGTTCAAGTACACTGTACATGCATCTTATGCTAGATTTTGAAGGTACCGTACTATATAAATAAAACGCCGCTTATTCTTCTTATTAAGTAAAAGCACTGATTCTGAAACTGAATTTTTGATGCAGGTCACAGGAATCAATGAGATATTGCAAAGCAGCGTTTTTAAAGAAAAATAGACAGACGTTTGATGGAAAATAACAATAATACGGAGTGTGCAGTTTGTGTGGTTTTGATCAAGTTCACATTTCTGTAAAGTGGATATTACTTATGTTGAAAACCTCTCATTTTGTGGTAAGCACCATAGCTGTCTTCTACACGCAATGTCAGATAAATATTAGTACATATATATTTTTTTCTATAGACCGTGATGCTACAGAGTGGGACGGGAGAGACATTTTAACAAATGCACACCGGTTATTCAGAGCACTGCTACAGGGCTGTCATTGCTTTTATTATTATCCGCCTCGCAGGCTTCAGATTTCTACGTACTTCGTTGCAAGGTCAAACCTACTAGGGTGCAGCTCGCTGGTGGGAGGTGACCGGTATGGTCGGAACGCACGCCAGAGAGCTTAGTGAACTTGGTCACGTTTTAGCAACCGCCAAGCACGCAAAATCTTCCCTGATAGCCGAATGGTAAAATCAATATTTTTCTCCTTATATAAAAATCCTTTATCTATACCCAAAATTTTATTGAGCCCTCGGCAAAAAAAAATGACTGTCTGGTTTGAAGTGATCGTTTTTTCGAGCTGACGTGACCCCCCCCCCCCCCCTGGTGATTGCCGTCCGCTGCTTCCCTGATGAAACTCTTAATTAGACTACTGTATGATATCTGTTATGTTTGCCACAAGCCCAAAGAAAAATCAATATGTGGAAAAAAGTAAAGTAAATTGATGCTGTGCATATCGTGTAATTTGTTTTTCTACGCGGTAACTCGTGCAAACAGATGTGGAAATTACACGGTGTTTAGCGGCTTACTGAAAGCAGTAGGTTTTATAGAAGGCAGGGCTTTCAACGAGAGTATTAACGAGGCTGGGTGGTCTATGCAGCGTCTATGTACACATGCTATTTTGCCAGTGAAATCACACCAAGAAAATTGCAGAGTGACAGTCATTATATTTCGCGGAGACAGTGGAACGTCCGCGATGACAGGGAGAGAGTGAATGTGTGTGTATGGGGGGGGGGGGGGGGGGCATCTTCGGTGCATTAAGACTCATAGGACCCAGTTTGGTTATGTATAATGTTACAAATAACTAAAGATGCCACGTAAAATAAGCGATAAGAGCCTCCAGAAATGTGCAAAATAAGAAAGGTAGGGCCGAAATTAACGAATGCGAAATTTGATATGTCTAATGTACTTCTGACGTATTTAAGTCCATTTCTAACCCTTCCTGAAAATTGTTATCAAAATTCGTCCCTAAATATTTAGTTAGGCCGATAACTAACAAACCAACTAAGAGTAACATATACCCTCCCTGGTGGAGATAACGGGTACGAATTGCCCGTGGTGGAAGCGACTAGCCTGTTAAAAAGCTATATCAGGGGCGGATCCAGAGATATTTTCTGACAGTCTTCCATATTATATTTGTTGGTCCATCCTCCATTTTTTGACCGTCTTCCGACAGAAAAAAATTAGATACCCGTCAATGTAAACTTGAAAATCTGACCGTCTTCCGGAAGACCCAGAAGACGGCCTAAATCCGCCCCTGTATATGTCTTACCAGCAATATCACAGGTGGTCAAGACTGACCACCTGATCTTGATGTCCAATGAAAAGAACAACCGTGATGACCCCGTGAGAAAATCGATATGACACCGGCATGACTGCGGGCTACCTTTTATCTGTATTAAACAATAATGTCTTATTTATTACCTTTGAAAAAAGCTCTGGTCATGAGTCAAAGGTCACGACCGAGTCAAAGGTCATAGATTGATGAATGATAGGGTACATTGTAATACAACAATACCAAGAATATAATAGAAGGTTTCGAAAGTTAGGATGAAGATTTGCGGGTATTGGAATTTGTGTCAAGTTTATGATTTTGACGGGAATTGTCTGGGCTGATTCGTTTAAGATTCACCTTAAGATTCAGACAGACAGACGGACGGACAGACAGACAGACATGGCCCTTTCTTCTATGCTCCCTGACACTGTTTATCTGCTTTCCATTCAGTACATTGAAGAAAGCATAAAACTTGCATGTGATATCATGCGCTTAGATACTGCAAATACCGTATTATCAACGTTGTCTTCTGTTTTTTGATAAACCTGTTTGTGATATTTGCCATGAAATAGAATTTGACTTCACATGCGAACAACGGAACGCTTTGAGCCCTTTCTATACCTAGATCGATCTAGCAGGATCGACCCATCTCCGGGAAGTTTTTCGCTAAATTACATTCAGATTAAGCGGCTCTGATGTTTGACACGCTGAAGCTGTTA